ATTCAAGAGTTGTTCGAGATAGTGGGTTCTCCGTTTCATAGCAACATATCTTCCTTTTCACTCCATAGTTCCTTCTTTCAATGTTTCTACACTGTTTACTTGACTTTTTCCCTTCGCCAAGCTTCCACTGCCTATTTTTCTCTGCTTAAATGCTTATATTGCTTCTAGCCACTATTCTTTCAGAGTGTTGGACAAAACCATGTGAATTTTGTACTGAAGTCTCCCTTCATTCCGCAGATTTAGACAACAACTACTGCAGGCTATTCTGACACTCCCGCTCCCTATCAGATATCTTTTTAACCTGATCTCATTACCCTGATCATCTTCCAGCCCTGCTTTCACCTAATATTCCCCTTCAATTTTCCTCAATGGCCTACACAATCTCGAAAAGAAATCAAACTTTGATTTTCAATTCATATGCTGCATAAAATTTTGGTATCAGAGCAAAAATGCTTCTATCACAAGTTTTTGTGACACGCTACTGTGCTGAAAAATAGTGCAGCGTCCACTGAAAATCATAAGTTCTTAACCATTTGAACTAAACAGCAATAACAAATCTTCAAGCCTCCACATGCCACCTAAAATCCTCTAAAACTAATTCGTAGCATCAACTGTCCATCTTTGGGAGAAAATTTGAGCTTGGACAACAGCTCCTTGCTGTTCAAAGCTGACAACTATGATTGCTCAAGAAAAATGGCGCTAGGCATAAATCTCGTTTTGCAGACTTAGGATTTTATTCTCCTAAGGCAAATTGATTTGTAGTTAACTATATTTCCCGTAATGATTGTATCAGGGTTTATTTAATTTTGGGGTCCTTACTTCCTATGAGCGCAAACCCTCATAATTAATTACCCCTCCTACTTCATAGAAGAGAATTCTCGATTAAAAATGAATTAGCTTTAGAATGTTCTAGTCTCGTTTGTTGGGCGATGGAGTTATCAAAATCCTATGGTTCTTTTGTCCCGGAAATACCTTTCATTATATCAACACTAACAATCATTGATCATAGTGTCCAAAGAATCTGATTAGCAGCCATGGATTGCCTCCTCTCAGAGATTCCGAGTAAACATAAGTGGTTAATATAAGTTGTAGTTTTATGGTGGTTTGGGTTTTGCATCTATTAGAATACCCATCCGATATGTTGAATTTAGTTCGGGGCTTATGGCTAAACTTAGTAGTTGCACATAGGTTTGGTTTAGGATGGCGCTTACAACTCCATTTAGGAGTTGCTAGGTTGTTTGAGTTTGGTTCGGGGGTTATGACTTCCCTTGAAAGTTGCCAGCAGTTTTAATTTGGGTCGGAGCTTATGGTTGCACTTAGGAGTTGCTCGTAGGTTTAATTTTTAGTCGGGGCTTACGACTCCACTTAGAAGAAGCATGCACGGATGGTTGAAGGGGATTCGTGAACGTGAGAGACGGAGGCAGTGCAGGCAGCACAATTGAACGGGGCGATCTTGCGGGAGAAGCAGATGCAGGAGGAGCAGGTGCGGTAGGTGAGCCAGAGCGTGCAATCACACAGGACAGGCGTGGGTGTTTGGTGTGATCAGGTGAACGGAGGCAGGGGTTCTCATGGGTGGCCATGCATGTGGACAGTGGGCCGGACTGGAGTGGTAGGAGGATCCAGAGCACACAGAAGAACCAGAGACATAATATAGAGTGTAAGTCGTTTTTTTTGTTTTGGTTTCTTTGCCCTTTTTATTGATTAAGTTGCCGAAGGATTGTCTTTTTCAAGAGCAATGCATTTGTTCGCTAAATATCTGAACAACGCATCTTTTTTTTATTTGATTTCTTTTTTTTTAATTAGTCAACAAACCACCGATATAGAGTTGTTTTACATCAGCACCATTCCAAACAAGAAATCTATAATATTGCATTTCCGCAGTGATCAAGACTCCATGTAGTAATTTTTTTCATAGCTACTATGACTTAGGTTTCTTGTTCTCTAACAAGACTTAAAAATAGTCCCTATCTAAGAAAAACTCAATTAAAGTGAGAGAATAAGCATCCCTTGCAAGACCACTTGTTATCTAGCGTATGTGAACATAAAAAATATGTAAAATTAATGGAAGTTGATGAAGCGCATAAGGCATTAGTTTGGCTAAACTAATGGCCTCATTCACAAGTATTCCATATATGTAACATTTTTATATTTTCATGCAAATGTTCAAAACTTTACTTCATTATTTCCTTGTTACATACTTGCCTTAATATTGTGAAGTGTAGGAAAACAAAGAACAATTATATGTACATTGGGACAAATTATCACCAACCTGCAACAACAATAACAACAAGCCTAATTCCCACTATGTGGCATTGACTACATGAATCATTTTGGACACAATGAATCATTTTTCTCCATTGTGTCCAATTAAGAGTCAAATTCTCATTTTAATCTAATAAAAAGAAATGACATTTTTAATACTTTCCAAAAAAGTCTTTTTAGGTATATCTCTACCAACATAGGCCGGATCTAATACCATATACTCTCCTAATAGGGCCATTAGAAGGTCGGTGTTTTATGCATGATAATTTAATACTATCATACATTCTTGCTTGGGGTGATGACCTCCTCATGAGTAAAATAGGCATTTTGAGCAAGTTAGGACTAACCATGGAGGAAGGAGTATGATGATGTAGCTTCTCCATAAAGATTTAAGATGACTTTAAGATAGTTTCTCTTTGAAGATTTAATGTGGTCTTAATGTAGCTTCTTCTTCTTGAAGATTTAGAGTAGACATGAAGTAGTTTCTCCATGAAGACTCTTAATATGAAAAAAATAAAAGATAATGATGCTAATATTTTGTATTCCATATTTCATGTAATTATGCAGTTGGCCAGGAACATTTATGTATGTCTTTTTATGTTCTCATGTAACTCGATTCATATGTTTGTTCATGTTCTTCAAAATGTACAAACATATAAATAATCATATAAAGTTAGGTTGTGCGCATCATATTTTGAATGAAAAGTGACAAACTCTCGTTGTTAGTTATATGCCTTTTATCTTGTATTCATGTCTATCCTATAAAGTGAGAATAAAGTTTGCTAGTGCATGAGGTGAAGCTATAATGTTTTTGAGAAGTTCCTTCATATCCATGACTTATTTATATGATGCTTCAAAGTTCAAATAAAGCTCTATTGCGAAGTATATATTTATTTACATACTAAAGTAGTTTTACAACTTCCTAATCATTATGAGATCAAGCACATTATCACAGTTATCGTGGGTCCATCTGTCATACCCAAATGTTCAAACAAAAGTACAATTTATGGTTGCTATCCTGAAATAGTAATTTCTACAAAAGGTATTCAATTTATTACATTAATTAGTAGTTAATTAAATTTTATGTTAACAATTTCATTGATTTATAATTTCAAGTTAATGTGTTTCAGTAAAGTATTACACAAACTGATGTAATATGACAAACGGAAAAGACAAAATATAAATAACATGAATATAATAAGACATCAAAAATAAAGACTCTGAATCAGGGCCGTCGATCGACGCCTCCGGCGATGGTACACGTGTCGGAATCTGATGCCCTCATCACAAACACCACTAAGACAATCTGATTTTCTCATTTTCAGGACTTAACAATTATAGCTTGAGGTGGTCCACTAGTTTAGCACTTAGGTGAGTCAAGTTACTGTAGTACAGCACTAAGTATTCCACTACTAATAAAATATTCATTCAGCCATCCACTATCTTTTTGCATGCAACCGTAGATAAGAAATCCAATGGCTAGGAATTGTTTGAGCGTAGGTATAAGCTATATCAGGTAAGTTTTTCTTCCAGCAAGCTTTTTTTCCTCAGTAAACTGTGTTTAGCTGGACTATGTGGTGAAGTTTCAGTGGAGAGTAGGGAGCCGATACAAGGTAGGCTGTGGGATGAAATCCAGCTGCTGTTGGAGGAAAATTATGGGGGAATAATTGGAGTTATTGCTTGCTGTGAGAATGGGAGGCTATTTTTAGTGGAATACATTGCAAAGGAATTAACCGTGAAGAGTGGATTAGAGGAGAAAGAGGAAATAAAGGTGAATTATTCTTATTTCTTTATTACGTTATGTTGTCCTGCAAATTCTTTGGATATTGATCAGGTTGCTAAAGGAGTTTATACCACAATTGTATTTTTAGGATTGTTATTTGGTGGATGAAGAAAACAGAATCTGGTTGCAAGGTAAGTTGCTAAAGAAGATGAATGATTTTATTAAAACTATTGGCAAACTAAATCATAGAAAATTTGGAATGGAAGAAATGTGAATCGTGTAGGTAATTTACAAACGAAAAAGGGTACGAGGTGCTGAATTCGAGGAGCCAACTCGGCAAGGGGGTAAGAAATGCAATGTAATCTAATCAAATGCATGTGTCATTTTTGAGTTGTATAACTGCATGTCATTAAAACTGAAGGGTAAAAAGTCAGTGAGATAACTTTTATCTGTTAATGCATACAGTCAAACAGTCAGGTATGAATGACCCCATATAAATTTTTGCTTATCATGCAATATTATATGATCTTATAAATGTTTTCCTACATGTTGTTATTTACTATGTACATATTGTTTTCATGCAACAATATAGTCAATAGAATATTCATATAGAAGCATGAAACATGACAACACAAGTATAGGATCTTAAAGCAAGACTTAATGAATATTAAATATTAAATTAGGAAAAGTTTGTTATGAAATGATATGACACCTGCTATGTAGGTCGAGGCAAAAGGGACCTCTATGAAATTCGAGGCAAAAGAGACCTCTATGAAAGTCGAGGCAAAAGGGACCTCTATGAAAGTCGAGGCAAAAGGGACCCGAATGAGGCAAAAGGGACCTCTGAAAATGCTAAATATGATTTTTTTATGTTTTGCAATTTATTTCATAGTTGATTCGAGTAAGATTTCAATTACGCTAATTCTATAAATCTTACAAATTATTTCTTTTTAAATTGCATAACTTTATGAGCTTTATAGCTTACCATATTTTTATTCTGGCCATTGTTACAGGAAAGGGCAAGGATAAAGAAGAAGTTGAATAGCTTCAGGTCACTTTTAAAAACTTTATGCTTTGTGCTGTAACTGGTATATAAGTCTACAACAGAGGTATGTAGCCTGTTTATTACTGTAACGTTTTGGAGTTAGTAGGGCTCTGTAATTATTCCGGGATGAATAAAATCTGATATTTTGGGATACTTCCTTATATTGAGGAATAAACTAAATGAGGATTGAATATATAGATTAATGATGATGAGTTTTAATTTCATGATTGTTGTTGTTATGTTACACCCTACATTTCAGGGGGGTGATTTGGGGTGTGACACCATCTGACACTAAAAAATACTTGGAATAATGGCATGTCTTCCACCTTCAGACAATACTTGGATATCATGTGATCATCTTTTCATCCACCCACCAACCTCTTAAGGAGTAATTGGCCTTTCATTCTTTGAAAGCGAGTTGATCTTGCCCCAAAAGAGTCAATGGTGACCATCAAATTGATACCAAAAATCTGCATCAATAGTCAGCTTTGCAGCTTAATCTTTTTCATTTGAATCCTTGAGTTTTTTCTTCCGTTGTTATGTAAAAAGACAACCTTTTTAAAGACTTGTAAATTTTCACTCCAACTATTATGAATAGATCTTATATACTAAAGATTGAGGATGAGAAAATGACTTTGAGAGTCCTTGCCATCCATTAACCTTCTGCATCTCCCAAAGGGCTTTTTGCAGGCATGCCCCTCCCTTGAATGTTTCACAAGCTATGTGAGATAGCAAGTTACCACACTCCAAGTCAAAACTCTGACATTTCTCTCAATTGTTCCGTCTAACATTACTTCGTTGTTTTTGTTGTTTTACCTTCTTTAGGCCAACATCATCTATTTCTCTAAGCCAAAGCCCTGCAATTGCTGTTCACCATTCTTCAAAAAATTCAGTTACTAAAGAGAAATACCATTTAACCAAAAGATTCAGTCGACAAAAGAACAATAACATAACCTCTGCCCATCCATATGCTACTTCTGTGAATCAATTATTATTTCTCAATGAGGAACTAACTAAATGATTTCGCCCTCTTAAATAACCACAAGGATGGTTTGTTGCAACAAGATAAATTTTGAAACAGGATGAAATTATGCCCGAAAAATATAACAATAAGTTCACAAATAATTTAGATGCAAACTGGGAGTAGAAAACAAGTAGTTGGAGTACAAGGTCATAGAGGCTCATCAAAAACTTAATAAGCAGGAGAGTAAAGAAGAAATGAGCACATTGTAAAACTATCTTTATTTCACCCAAACAAATTAGCCGATAAACTTCAATTAACAAAACTACCTGCACAAATTCATTTCAAAAGAACAACATCAAGTTCAATTTGATGAAAACAAGAAACCATACATGAACAAAAAAAAATATTCATCAGCGTACTTCACCTGCAAAGCAAGAGCTACAGCTTCTTCATGCATGGACATCATACTATAGATATGAACACAAGCACGCATCCTTTTTTCCTTTAGGCATAGACGTAATGCATACTTGGGATCGTAGAAAAACTCAGGCCCATCAACTTGCCCCTTGCCAAACTTGCATTGCAAAAATCGCAAAAGTGCACTGTCATCTTCCTGTTAAAAATTTTGTCAGATGTAAATCGAAATGAAGTACCATAGTTGAAGCTTAAAGCAAAGAATTATCTATTTTGAAAAAAAAAATGATAGTTTGTCGTATGATAATCGCATGTTAAGTCGAAGCTATATATGATTTCAAAAAGTATATAAAATGACATAAGAAAAAGATATTAAAGAATATTAAACATGTTAAAATAAATCTACTAGTTCAGAATAAGGAAGAAAGACGTAAAGTGAAAGATGTTTGTATTAAACAAACCTCTTATAAAAGAAATACTCAAGATTTTCCTTCTATAATGCTGCCAATCTATGATAAAACATATCAACAAAAAACTGATGAGTTCATGCTAACAACTTCAAGTTTTTGATAAGTACTTAAAACTCACTTTATTCTGAGATTGAGTCATAATGATGACAAGTAAAACTTATATCTCTTAGAAGAAGTTCTTAGGGCAATGATGTGGGTGTGCACTATTATCACGTCACACCAGGTGAGGCTTAGAGAAGCAGTTTTAACTAGATTTTTCACACAAGAGCATGGAAAAGCAACCTACCTGCAATGTTATGTTTGACGTGTTTGTTAGGAGAATTATACGCCTGTACTATAATACTTAGAATTTTAAAAAATGCATTCCCAAGATATCCCCTTTTATCATACATCCATAAAGTGGCAGAGCCAGCAAGTTTGGTGGGGATGCTAACATTTTTTTTTTCATTCGAGCTTGGCTTCAACATGGAAAATTTTGAAAAAAATTTGTTGCATTTATTATTCTAAAAAATAAAATATTACTTATAACATAATAAAAAAAACTTAAAGTTAAATAAGAAATATATATTCCCTAAAAAAGATAAGCTTTTACAGGAGCAGAGAGATTTTGCATTAGTGAAAATCAACAATAGAAATATAGAAAAGAAGTTTTTACAAGGAGGATATTTTCATGTAATATATATATAAAAGCTGATGTACTGTGTGGCTGCTCCATCATTTCTGTATAATAAAAAAAACAATAGGCAGGAGTCAGGAAATGGTGGAAAAGGCTTTTAAGATCTCTATGGAATAATAAAAAAAAATGTAGACGAGGCAAGAGCAGGAGATGGGAGCAACCAGGAGCGGGGAGGGATAAGGAGATAGCCATAAATAAGAATATTGATAAGAGAGGTTTTTTAGTTTTGTAAGGGGGGCACCCCTCTTAATCCGTCCCAGGATTCATAAAACATCAAGCCTATTTTCACTAAATTCTAAATTTAATTTCAAGCATTTATATATATAAGTGTGTATAAGTTATAAGCGTAATATATATAAATTAAATAGTTTTTAGAAATCAGAACATTATTAAAATGCCTTTAATTAGTCTCTAATCTACTGTAGCTAAATCAGACATTTAAAACTAAATTAATTGCACATCACTGGCTTTTACTTACATAAGCATGAAAGGGGCTGATAGCCGTGAGGGCTGCGAGCTGGAGCTGCTACAGCTATTGCTGGGAAAATTATCAGAAATCGGTAAGTAGAGAAGGAAAGTAAGGGAAGAAAAAAAAGGAGATTTGGGAGAGGGAAAGGAAATTTTTGGGTTGAATGAGGAGTTCAATTGAGGTAAATTTGCATATAGCCTGATTTTTTTATTGAATTCATGTATAAATGATCAAATGTATTCTTTAGGTTGTATATAAGAGGAAAAGAAGTTGGAACTAGAGCTGCCCACTGGCTGTCCTGCATCCTAGAACCTTGCTAGTTGCTGTCCAGAAGCTCCAGATTACTGTCCAACAGCATAAGGAAGGCTTGTGGTTGCTGTCCACTCATTCTCCACCATTCAAACGACCTTACCGGAGGGCGTATCCCTCTTGTCTTTGGGTAAACTCAACATCAGATTCTCTATCTTCATAGTTACATCCTTGCTTGTGGTTATTATTAAATTCATGACGATAATGTTAATACATCTCCGCTAAAGCCTAGTATTTAGAAGAGTTGTGTGAGGGACCCTTCATAGACTAATCTTATTGTTAGTATTGGAATTCTTGTTGAAACCACTCATGTATGCAACGTAAGATTTAGTTGATTAATTAATGATCTCAATCTCTCGCATGTGCTTAGACCTAAGCTAGTTTACCACCTTATCATTTCCATTTTGTCGTCTATCATCAAGACAAAGCTTATAATTATTGTGTTCTAAAATGTAAGCGTGCAAACTTTCTTAGTTTAATCATCCATGCTTGTACGTTCTACATCAATTATTCTTCATATTAATCATATTATAAGTTTAATTACTTGTTCACCTGTAAATTTGGATAAAATGATAAGCAATACATGCTGCAATATGATATTCCAGGTGTACGTTATGAACATCTAAATGTTACATATTTATGTTGTGAACATCTAAATGCAAATGAGAAGGTTAAGGAGGAAAGTTGTATTATGGGGGATAGGCCTGCACAAGTAAAAGAGAAAGACCTGACGAAATAAGCCTTAGAAATCGTACAAAAGGTACCTTATACACTCTCTTCTAAAAAATTAGAAATTTGGATCCAACCATGAAGCGATGAGCTGTAAGTTTGCAAGAGCCTACAGTCATCATATGACTTGCCTAAAGTATTAGAAAGTAAACAAAAAAGGAAATGTGAAAAGTTAAAGAATACATACAGTGATTAGCATCGTTATACATTAATTTCTCATACAACTTATGATTCTTATAGAAATCCCAAGTTACTTATAATTGATTGCAAATTTTATGTTTCTTATTTTTTGTACTATAATTGTGTATTTCATTGAGCTTTAGCTCATTAGCAGTGATTTTACTATAGGAAAAGTGAATGAGCTAATGTGTCACTAGGCAGGAGGTTGACTGCATTTTTGTGTACTTACATTTTGGTTGCGCATAAAAGCTATAATAAGAAGCTGTACAGTCAGACTTTTAGATATGTAAACTTTATTTGAAAGTTTAGTAAAGCTCTATATTCAATTTAATGTGTTTTGAATATGCTTCCAATTATGAAATATTGAGATAGAATCCTACGACCGGAAAAAATGTATTGTGTTGGAATAGTCTGGATAGACTATTTCCTACTCGATCTTGACAGAACTAGGTCAGAGTGGTGTTAGAAAGAAATATGTCTATTCATACTCTCCTTCTCTGTTACACTCCATGTTAACTTAAGGGGAGTTAAAATAGGATGTGAAATGTGCACCCAAATTTATTTTCAATAACCTTATTTTAATAAATGCTACTGGCACAATATCTTGTAAATTATTATAAACACTATATCCTCATATACTACAAACAATTCTCCACGTTGTTATTTCTACAACACCCATTTTAGATGTTAGAACATCTTTGATGCCCAACGCTCAAATTCATACAAAATAACCAGCAGCTTTATAAAGTAGTGATGCGGGCAAAAAATATAGGGGACCCTATATCTTTTGATCACAAAAGACAAACAGACTTCCTAACTAAAAGAAGACACAAAATACCTCAAAAAGAAGAGGTAACTTAAATAAGACTAAGCAGCGGAAATTAAAACTACAAACGATGATTTCAACAACTTAAACTCTTACAAATGACTCCAAATAAAATAAAACGACACCCTAAAGTTGCTTCACTTAGAGAAGAAGGATACAGGTGGAGCGGCACTTGCAGAGAGACGAAAGAGGTTAGAAGCCCGAGAAGAAAGGTTGGAAAGAGCCCGCAGGATTTCCAAAGCAAACCCGCAGGTTAAAGCTTCCAAAAATAACTTATCATTCAACTAACTTTCAAACATAAACAATCCCCCATATATATAGGTATGAAAGGAAATACAAAGAGACACATTACATTAACTAACACAAGAACCTAAACATCACAATATTAAAACACCTAAAAATAAATCCCAAGCCAAGAAACCGAAGAGGTAGCCGCGGGAGCCAAGGAGGCCGAGCGGGAACCAAGGGGGCATGGCCACGGAAAGAGCCCAGGCACGAGAAACCAGCAGTCGGCCGGAATCCAAGGGGGCAAATGCAATGAAACCATGGAGGAAACCAAGGAGTTATGCATGGTAATACTAAACAAATAACTTGGGATTCCAAAAGCCCATTTTGAAAACCCAAGAGACAACTTTAAGACATTAAAACTTAAAAATACATTTAATAAAAAGATAACTATGAGCTAAAATCATAGCTAATAATAAGCTAACCCTTAGTTCAATAAGTGAACTAAAGACTAGCTCATAAATGAGCTAAAATTTCAGCTCAATTTTGATTGAGCATATAGACTCAAGGGAAACCAAAATTCATATTATTTTAGACATGGGTTGACCCCCCCCCCCCTTTGTCTACATCAGACTTCCCTTCTTGCGAATTCAGCTCCTGATGAATTGGTTGATGATTCCCTTGAGGCGGTGCATATTGTTCATCGAGCTCCTTGAGTTTTTCACCAAACCTTTTCAGAATTTCTTCTTGCTCCTTCTCGAATTGCTGTTGTAGATATCTTTTGTACTTCTCGAATTTTTGATCACATAGGAGCATGTGATACTGAAGCTTGTACAGTCGATATTGAAGTGGGTCAGTAGAATCTCCTTCTGTAGGTAACCATCTGTCCAATGGAGGTGGGACATCAGGATTATGTTGAACGCTTTCTTCCATGAATGAAGCCATATTTTTGGTATTGAATAAAGCGATCAACATAATCCTGATGTCCCACCTCCATTGGACAGATGGTTACCTACAGAAGGAGATTCTACTGACCCACTTCAATATCGACTGTACAAGCTTCAGTATCACATGTTCCTATGTGATCAAAAATTCGACAAGTACAAAAGATATCTACAACAACAATTCGAGAAGGAGCAAGAAGAAATTCTGAAAAGGTTTGGTGAAAAACTCAAGGAGCTCGATGAACAATATGCACCGCCTCAAGGGAATCATCAACCAATTCATCAGGAGCTGAATCATGCCCCCTTGGTTCCCGCTCGGCCTCCTTGGCTCCCGCGGCTACCTCTTCGGTTTCTTGGCTTGGGATTTATTTTTAGGTGTTTTAATATTGTGATGTTTAGGTTCTTGTGTTAGTTAATGTAATGTGTCTCTTTGTATTCCCTTTCAGACCTATATATATGGGGGATTGTTTATGTTTGAAAGTTAGTTGAATGATAAGTTATTTTTGGAAGCTTTAACCTGCGGGTTTGCTTTGGAAATCCTGCGGGCTATTTTCACCCTTCTTTCTCATCCCCTCCAGAAATCCTGTGGGCTCTTTCCAACCTTTCTTCTCGGGCTTCTAACCTCTTTTGTCTCTCCGCAAGTGTCACTCCACCTGTATCCTTCTTCTCTAAGTGAAGCAACTTTAGGGTGTCTTTGAGATCGAGTCGAGTTTGTGTTTTTAACTTCTTTTTATTTCTTAATTTGAAATGTAAGAGTTTGTTCGTCCCTTTTCTCGTCCTTAGTCATTTTCGTCGGTAGAAGTCCGTCGTGTCTTTTGTGATCAAGAGATATAGGATCCCCTATATTTTTTGGTCGCATCAAGTAGGAATGAAATGAAAAGGGAAACAAAAATCAAGTCCTCGATGGTTGTAGTTGCTTCTGATCGCAATAAGTTAGGGTGCTTGGAAAGTGATAATTGACAAATATTTTTCAATTAACAACTGAGTTAAATGCTGATAGATAAGGAGTAGGTTTTGCAGCTTAAGAGACAGCAAAAAGATCAGCAAGATGACAGGAAACGTCAAACATAGATAGAATACATAAAAATTGGATATTGTAAAGCTTGCAATGAAACGAACTCATCTACACCCAACTTTAGCAATAGATAGTAGCCATTATAGATCAAACCTAAACAAAAGAAAGGATGGATAGTAATATTTATAGATTGCGGAAGAAAGCTTCCATGTTTTAGCAATTATGTGGACGACATACACCACAAATTAGTAATTTATAAAACAAAATTGGCTTCCCTAATAGCATAAATAAGGAGATATTATCAATTTAGAAAACTTGGACTCAGATAAAGTTATCAAATTATCTACTTGTATAAATAGTTATTTTAAATAAAGATACGCAATGGGTGAGTGTTGATGATCCTTTTGAAGGAAACAGGAAAAAGGATTGAAGTCTAGGACACCAAAATAGAACCTGGCTAAAGGCAGTTTTGACTACTAGACAGTCCACTAAAGAGGGTCAGATAATGTGGAAACATGCTAGATAAGCAAAATAAAGATGCATGGTAGGAATAAAGAAATAGCAGATGCACCACATAGAAATTGAAAAGTAAATTATAACAGAACCTGTTTTGCATACAAGGAAAGCAGTAAGTTGTGGATTCCAGGATCTTCATTATGCAAATGATGGACAGAGTATTCCAAATACTTGATCACCTCATGTGTTTCATTTCTAGAACAAGAAAAAAGAGGGTTAACATTCATTATCACCAACAAGTAAATAAAAAAAAAGAAACTAAGGTCAATATCAGTGAAAGGCAAGTACGAACCTTGTTACAAGTGATCGGAAACACTATCATTAAATCAGTGGAAACAAACATGTCATTCTTTGGTTACTCTACTTTTTCTAAAAACTTGATTTTTAAAGATGCATACTCTATTACTCACCAATGGAATTCATTTTTTTATGACTCACTTCACATGAGGCACCACCAACCAAGTGAGTGGCATATATATAATGCAGTCATACGTTTAGTATATATTACATGTTCAATAATTGATATTTTTTGTCTTATCCTATAAAACTTTTTCACAATGTAGGACAATAGCTATTAGTACAACTAAAATATAATAGCAAAGAATACACAAGTTATGAGCACTTCAATCAACAGAATAACCACTTTGTCGAATGCTTCACACATAAGCGAACAACAGAATTATTTATAATAGATATATACAGAAAATGAATGTTCCTTTAACTAGAAGCATAAATCCTCTAGGTATTTAAATAATTAATACAACGAGATTTTTAACCTTTTAAATTTTAAATATTACAGTTAATGGCGTGAAATCATTTTATCATAAATTCTCCATACTTAATGCAACTAGGATTAAAATTTCATAAAGTTTGGTTAGTGGATTGCTTAGTGCAAAAATCCTAATTTGATCCTTAAAAATAGGCTAGGGATTATTCTTAGCCATTGGATTAAAAAAAAAAAGATTAAAACAAAAGATACATATTAGGCAATGGAGGGTGAGAAACAAACAATGACCATACAACCAAGTTAAAGTGCGGATAAATAAGATGTTTGGATGTGTATAGAACTAGGAGAAAAGTAAGAGAAATAAATGCTAAAAAGGACAAAAAGCGTAGGGGATTCATGAAGATGGGTAAGAAAAACTAGAGTTTGAGGATTTTGGGATGTAGAGCAGAGAGAGGAAAAATGCCTCAATAAAGCAGATATCAAATGAACTTGAAAGGAATAGAAAGGAGTATAGGGTAGATCAAAATAAGATGGCTAGATGTGCAAAAAAAAAAAAGATAAATAAAACTTAGCACGTTATCTAGGACTCATTAATAGACAAGAAGAACTCAATAAAAGGCAGGCTCCAGATAGTGGTGATAAACATAATGCATCAACGTAAAGAAGACCCATAGAGCTTCACACTTTGATCAACTAAAGAATTGACAAATAGCCTAAATTAAACAGTAGTCTAACAATAATTATTGCTATTATAACGGTAATCATAGTGTAGCATAACTCTAGTCATGAGTGATGCAAGTCAACCCTGTCAGCACCATTGCCTGAAACAACTTTAGACTCGACATGATTAGTTATTGCATGCATTGTTTATGTCATATCATGAGAGAGGATATACTTAACATTCAGACAAATAACTCTGTTAAAAAAAAAAAATTTCTCAGCAAGTTTTCTTTTATTTCATCATCGAAGAGATCCATATAAGGGGAGTAGGCCTACAAGGCGGCAGCTTAGGACCATTTAGATAAATAAAGCCAACAAGACATTTGTCTACATGCCTACTGTATCTGCTCTCATGATAAGACACATAATCATAACACGTGCAAGCTAATCATGTTGAATTTGGAGTCGAATTGAGGAACGATGTCGACAAGTCGATGTTGACATCGAGTTTGACTCAATGAGTTAATGATTGCTGTGGCCACAATTCCAGGTTCAAATGCAACGTATATCCAGTCAACACATTCATTTTTGGTAAGCTAAGGCCACCACACAATTACTACAGTGAAAAGAATATAGAGATGCAAACCAAACTACAGAACTGAAATGATAATTCAACATCCTAGTAAGGGCATCAGCACAAATGGTTAAATGCTACAACAAGAAATTGAAAGAAGGTAGCATACTTGGCATGTGGTTCACTTGTGTATCGCATCATTGCAGGTATTAACTTCCTTGGATTCAGCTTGTTTGTAGTCATCCATGATTCAACAGTCTCGTAGGCATCAAGCATGATTAGATCAGGGGCAAATTTGTACTACAACAAAAATGAAAGTTGATCATTCAAAAAATTAATGAGACTATCATTATTATATAAGAGTCCCACACACGACCCTTACTAATGATGAACAGAGTTATTAATGATGAACAGAGAGCTCACATGTAATTCACATATGAGTTTGCATATGAATGTGTATAATATATGTTTATGTATGTTCTAAAGAGTGGAAGTGGTTAAGGTATCAACAGAGCAATTTGCCAATTTCTAATGTGAACAAAACGCAATTTAAATTCATGTATGAGGATAGTACCTGAAGATCAACATGCACGTTAGGTCTCCGAAGTACCTCAAGTGCTTTCTTTGTTTCCCCTTGCTAAATCAATTCAATAAAAAAGATATCAGTAAAATCTGGCCACATAATGTTAATAATTAAACTTCAAATGTTATGCAGGAAACTCTATGGGGAAGATCAAGTAAGCTAGTCAAATAATTACTTATTATTTGTGCAATCAATTAGCTGTATTTTGCATGATACGGATTTTAATTGCTATTTGAGTAGCGGAGATGAAGTATACAAGCTGAATTTTAAGAAAGCCGGTCGTGAGCCAGACTTGAGTACAGCCCAACTCTGGAACTAGATGTGTGATTAGCAGCATGGCCCAGCCCAGTTGATTCTAAGGAAGAAAAAGCCAACTCTAAATGAAATGAAATAAAGTGTACACTTATGGACAAATGAACAACAGCATAATCAAGCAAGACATTTTCTTTATCTAGATTTTATTGTGCTTGGTCAAGGCCAGGTTCGAGTCCACTTTAGCTTTCTATTCAGCTCTAAGCAAGGTTCATGTCAAAATATTTATAAGTTTCAGATTTGCATCACAAATTAACATTCCATCATACTAACAGGCATATCAACTGCCAAGGCCAGCCTACCTTTTGGCATTTGTTGACATTACAAATTTCACTGCCACCTGATACATGCGTGAGTTTAAATTCACATGGCGAGCATAACTTTTGACATGCTAAGCGCTCACTTAGTAGCACGTTAGAGGAGATGAGAAGTGTCAAGTGAGAACTAGGAAAAGTGTGACCACTTCGAATATTTATTTGAAAACAAAATTGAATGTATATTCTGATGCGGCCATCGGTACGAAGATTTGGAGCATCTATCACAGGAGGCGTCGCAAATCGACGGCTATCATTTAAACCTTCTATTATGATTTATTTTTCTGAATTTTAGTTCTAAATTAATATATTTCCTGTTTTACCCCTAGGATAGTTTGTTTGAGTGTTATGGCCCAAGGGGCAATTTTCTAATTTCAAATTTTCTTATATTGGGGCCTATAAATAAGGGCCTTAAGCTATTGTAATGGATGGTTATTGATAATGAAAAGTTTTATGTTCTTGTTGATCTCTTAGTGAGTTCATGAGAGGAGAAGCCCGAGGAGGGTAACTTGCAATACCCGTCAATTTTTGGAAGAGTCCGAGGTTCGCGGTTCTTACGATCTCTTTGTGAGTTCGTTATTTATCTCTATCTTTCTCATATATTCTTGTTCATCTCCTTCCTCCTCTCTTCATCCACCCAAGTATTCCCCCTAGCTCCACCTCCTCAACCCACGGCCGACACTCCACCCAACCCCTCATACCGCCGGCCCAAGCTCTAGCCGCCGGCCACCTTCCACCTCCTTCTCCCCATTGAAATCCTTGCCTAATTTGGGTAATTTAATCTTTGGACAGATTTTCGAAATTCAAATCCAACGAATTTGAATTTGAAATCTTTCCTAATTTGTCATTCTATTTTTTGAAAGTTCTTAAATCAATTCTTTTGAATTTCAAATTCAATTGGATTTGTTTAATTACTTTCCTAATCCTAAATTTACAGCTATGCAAGCATGACACCTCATCCCCACATTCCCTCTTGCCCATTAATGCCGCCGGCCCCCTTGTTTGGCCTCCCTCCCAACTCCCCTTTGCTATTAAACATTTCCTAATATAGTTTTTATAATTTAGGTAATGCAATTAAAGGCAAATTTTGAAATTATTGCCTAAATTAGAAATCCTAATTTTGGGAACTGTCCAAGTCATAGCTTTTGAATTTTAAATTAATTTGGGATGAGATCTTTCTTCCCAAATTTAATTTATTAATTTGGGCAAGCATTAATTACCATATTAAAATCCCACCCTCACGTTGGAAATATTTCCAAAACCTGGCCCATATCTAACCGCCGCCTCCTAGCAGCTTTGCTGAGTTTTACTTCTCCAAATCCCCTCTAACTCTCTTACAGGTGATGTTTCCCTGCTCTCTAAGTCTGCTGCCATAATTTCCTGTAGGCTCTAATTTCCTTCCTGAAACTAGATCTTGGATTTAGGAAATCAGAATCCCAGCTCCTCAATCCCGCTGGCCTTCCCCTCTGTCACATGTATCTCCCCTCCCTCTCATATTTCCTCTCTACCTTTAACACCTATTGTTCACAGTCATACTATTATCCCTTCCGATCCCTCCTCCCAACATTGAGAGCAAGTTTTCTTCTCATATTTTGAGAAGAAAACCTGAGCTATTTCAGGTTTCCTGAAAGCCAATTTTCTTCTCAGCAAGAACCGTGGAGTGGATTTTTTTTCTTCTTAGCCTTTCTCTTCTCCATTAAGGCTAGGCTTCTCTTTCAAACTTCTCTAGACCCTTATCTACTGGAACCTGAGAATTTTTCTCAGGTTTTGAATAAAAACCTGAAGAAAATTTTCAGATTTTGTGAGACGTTTGGAGTTTGTCCATCATCTATAGCAAAGCGCATTTTCGTTTTACATCATATTCTTCCCTAGAAGAGGAAATAAGATTCTCAGCCACTTAAGTTTAGCCTTGAAACAAAAATAAACAACATATTTGAAAAATGCTTTTTTTCTTCAGATATGATATAGAATAATATATCATCTCAAAAGATATAAATGATATTGTTCAATGGATTCGAAAACAAAAATAAAATTTACAAAAAAAAGTCAACATTCTAGATATGTTCACTATCTAATGTCAATAAGAGTTTATTTTATTATAGAGTACAATTCCCAAATAAAAGCAAGCTCTTATAGTTAATTATATCTCATGAGAAGTAATCTTTCAAGAATACTCTCGACTAATATAGTGACAAATATTTTCATGATTTCAAAGTTAGAAAAATGATGTTTTGTTTTAAATTTCAAATGAGAATAGTTCAATTTGGAAAAAATTATTTACAAGAGATCAAAGGAAGAAGAGTAAAGAGCATTGAATTATGATAAGCTCAGAAGTACTCTAAATTATCATATGTTGGACTTTACCGTTCTCAAGATTTGAATTCATTGTTTGAATTGTTCATTTTATTAGAAAATTGTATCTTAAATTTCATCAGCACAATATTGGGAAAATGCTCAAGAGGCGGGGACTTACAATATAGCCAATGAGTACCTATCAATGTTAGATCTTAAAACTAAGATGAGAACTACATACTACTATACAACTAGTAACTAGAACTTAACTCTAAAAAAAATGCAAGCCGCTTAAAACTTTCCACAAAAGGTTTAAGCATGCATAACTCTACTGAACTTTCAATCCTAGATAAAAAAACCAACTAAACTCATCTAATCACTTTAAAACCATGATGTCAAAATAGATATGCAATATACGTTAGGCTAAGGCTAATTTTATTTTAGGAATTGAAACTTGCAACCTAACCGTTAAAGCTAAACAAACGATCATGAAGGATATGCCGCATGCATATGATTATAGCTAACAAAATATATTATTTTTGGACCTAAAAGGCTTACTATTTTGTTTGAATTTTTAAGTGTCATTTCTATTTAATTTTATTATTTTTGTTCCTTTTTTTTCTTTTCTTTTTTTTACTTTGTTCCTAAAAAACGCCTGTTCTCAAAATAAACTCAAATTTATCCTAAAACCAAGAAAGCTTTGATTTCAATTTTGCATACAACACATTCCAATTTTGGTTGTTGCACATATGAAGATCTTGGATTTGTAAAAAGTTTTTGTTTTATGTACAATTATTTTGGTTGACTGACATGATTTAAAGAAAATATTCTAATGAAATAAAATGGTGAACAGTGTATAACAAATAACAAAACAAAATACATAAAAAAACAATCAACCATAGAAGGCCTAAGGCTGGTGTCCCATCAAGCACCTAATATATGTTCAGCTATAAGGGTTTCACTTTAATATTAATTTGGTGTTTCACCTTTGATTTAAAATTGCTCAATCAAATCTAGAGGCGGTTTCAATTTCAGTTCTTATTAATTTATAGCTTTTTATATGAAGTTGAAGGTTTAAAGTTTCATTTTTATTTTAATGTTTTAAAACATATTTTCAAGTTGCAACATTCACCATAAGGTGAACTTTGTCATCTAAAACATCATATACATAATAAGGTGTACACCTCACCACAGGGGTGAGATAACACTTTACAGTGTCCAAAAAGTAATCAAGTGCCCAAAAAGTAATCAAGTGCCCTTTATAATTTCTAATTATTTAAGCTTTTAATTTAAGGTTTTGTAAAAGAAAATTTAATTTTAAGTTTGATGATATTTCAAATGATTTAATTTATTATTCTCTATAATTTTATGAATTCATAAAAATTATTTGATATTTTTATTTTGTAATGTAATTTTTAATGAACATTTAAATGTTTAGGTTGTTTAATTATTATTTGCAAGGTTATTAAAACCAGGCCGGCCGGCCAGTTCGGTCGGTCGAACCAAGAACCGGCTGGCCAGCCGATTTGATCGAAATAGAGAACAGGATAGAATCGAACCGGAGTTGAATCGTCCGAACCGACAAACCGATTTTTCAAAAACTGCCCGATTTGATCATCAGTTAATATTAACCGTCAAATGATATGATAGCGATCCAAATCCATCTAAAATAACCAAAATACCATAAGCATCCCTCATTCACTCGTTTCGTTTGTGGCTTCGTGCGAAGTTCGAAAGCTACTAGGGTTCCTCTCCGATCGGCATTTCTATATTTCTTACTACATTTGTGAGACGAGCGACTACAATCCTCCAGCGAAGGTCTTCCCAACACAAGTTTTCTGTCATTCGTTCATCTCCGCTCAACGCACGATTCACCGGTAGTATACGGGTATACCATAAACTCTATTTTTGCTTTTGAATTTTTTTTTTAAATGATTCAGTAGAAGATATAATGCATATAGATATGATCATTTCATTTTGTTTAGCAGTAGAGAATCTGGTTTGGACTCGTCAGATGCTTCTTGTTTACAATTACAGAAGCTTTCACCACTGAATGGAGATTGTGGTTTAACCAAGACACCAAATAAAGTAAGAACTACATAATTGCAACACTTTTTAGTTTTTTCATAACTTTAG